CCCAGCATGGGGCTCGAACCCACAACCCCAAGATCAAGAGTCACATGCTCTACCAGCTGAGCCAGGCACACGCTTCTTCTGTATCTAAAATACGTAATAATAATTGTTTTAAAGTTCTTACCTGCTAATTCTCTCATGTCATTTGTATTGATTGTTTTTTTTTCTCCTGGTTACGTAGCATATTTTCAAGCTCCTTGTCATGCTTACTAGTTTTTGAGTGCATGTTGGACAGTGGAGATTTTATGTGTTAGATATGTTGGAGTGTTTTGTTTTGTTTTGGGAGGCAGTCAAGTTACTGGAGTATCAGCTTCATCCTTTTGAGACTTGTTTTTAAGTTTTGTCAGGGTGGTTTATTAGAACAAGTAGCCTTTACTAAGTCAAGGATCAATAAATTACAGCTTTAGACCGAAACCAGTTTGGCCCTGTTTTTGTAGCACCCTGAAACTAAGAGTGGTGTTTACTTTTTTTTTTAACAACTGTTAAAAAATCCCCACAAGAATATGACAGAATATGTGTGTGCCCTGAGAAGCCTAAAATAGGTGCTATTTGGCCCTTTACAGAAAAAACTTACCAACCCTGCCATTGTGCTAATTTATTGCTACTATTAGTGTTCACATTCTGAGCGCCATCTGAATAAACCTAGTCTTCTGTGAAGACTCTGTTTTGGTTGGTTAGAGCTTAAACATCTCTCTGCTGTCTTTTTTTTTTTTTTTTTTTTTTTTTAAAGATTTTATTTATTTGTCAGAGAGAGAGAGAGAGAGAGAGATCACAAGTAGGCAGAGAGGCAGGCAGAGACAGAGGGAGAAGCAGGCTCCCTGCCGAGCAAGGAGCCCGATGTGGGACCCGATCCCAGGACGCTGGGATCATGACCTGAGCCGAAGGCAGCCGCCCAACCAACTGAGCCACCCAGGCGTCCCTCTCTGCTGTCTTTGAGCTTTGGGAATTGTTTTGCTCATAGCTCCTGTTTATTCTTTGGCCTTGTAGAATTTCACCTTGCACATGCGCAGCTTTGTTTTTAGCAATATATCTCAGGATACTAGAGCTCTCTCTCAGCAGGAGGATAAGAGTTTGGCTTCGTCAAATGGTGTGTAGTGGAGGACAGAAAATCCTGCCAACCTTTTGACTGTCTTGTGAGACTGATTTGAGGGCGCCTGGGTGGCTCAGTGGGATGAGCATCTGCCCTCGGCTCAGGTCATGATCTCAGGGTCCTGGGATTGAGCCCCGAGTTGGACTCCCTGCTCAGCAGGGAGTCTGCTTCTCCCTCTCCCTTTGCCTGCCACTCTGCCTACTTCTGATCTCACTTTCTCTCTGTGTCAAATAAATTAAAAAAAAAAAAATGACGAAGAAGTGTTAGGAACATGCCATTTCTGTATATATTCTGGTGAAATTAGGTAGAAAAATATTTCCACTTAGAAATTAAATATATAAAACCTCCTTAAGAAAAAGAAGTTCTTGGGCACCTGGGTGGCTCAGTGGGTTAAGCCTCTGCCTTCGGCTCAGGTCATGATCTCAGGGTCTTAGGATTGAGGCCCATATCAGGCCCTCTGCTCGGCAGGGTGCCTGCCTCCTCCTCTCTCTCTGCCTGCCTCTCTGCCTACTTGTGAACTCTGTCAAATAAATAAGATCTTTAAAAAAGAAAAAAGAGGGGCGCCTGGGTGGCTCAGTGGGTTAAAGCCTCTGCCTTCGGCTCAGGTCATGATCCCAGGGTCCTGGGATCGAGCCCCGCATCAGGCTCTCTGCTCCGCAGGGAGCCTGCTTCCTCCTCTCTCTTTCTCTCTGCCTGCCTCTCTGCCTACTTGTGATCTCTGTCTGTCAAATAAATAAATAAAATCTTAAAAAAAAAAAAAAAAGAAGAAGAAAAAGAAGTTATTTGTATATTTTTCAAAAAAAAAAAAAAAAACCCTTAATTTCCACATTGGACCAGATTATCATGCTTGTTCTGGAACTCTGCAGTATAAAGTCAGAGTTCTGATACCTGTAGGTTTCTGTTAACAGTAATGTGCAAACATGAGGACTGTATATGTTTATGTTGGTGAGTGTGCATGTACATGTATTTGTTAGTATTTATTTGCCTTTATCTTGAAACAAATTCAAACTTAGAGAAAAATTACAACTACAGTACAAAGAACTTTTTTTTTTTTTTTAAGATTTTATTTATCTGAGAGAGGTGGGGATAGAGAGAGAGAGCACAAGGGCTGGAGAGGGAGAAGCAGGCTCCCCTCTGAGTTGGGAGCCCGACGTGAGGCTCAATTCCAGGGTCCTGGGACCATGACCCCAGCCGAAAGCAGACCCTTAACTGACTGAGCCACGCAGGCTCCCCCCAAAGAACTTCTTATTTTTTCATAGACTGACATAATGCCCATAGCCCATACCTTGGCTTGTATATCTCATAAAGCATTCCATTATATAACCACAATCTGGTCCTCAAAATTAGGAAATTAAGATTGGTATGTTATTGTCATTTAATCCTCAAACCTCAGTCATGTTTGCCAGTTGTCCCAGTAATTGTTTGTTTGTTTTAAAGTAAGCTCTCTGCCTAGTTTGGGACTTGAACTCATGACCCTGAGATCAAGAGTCACATACTCTGCTGACTGAATAAGCCAGGTGCCCCTCGGTAATGTTCTTTATAGCAAAAGAAAACACCCCAAATTATTTGTAGCATTTAGTTGTAATGACGGTTTTTAATCTCCTTCAATTTGGTGTAGTGCCTCAGTGTTTCCTTGTCTTTTGTTGACCTTGACACTTTGAAGAACACTGGGACAGTTATTTTGTAAAATTTTCATCCCATTTGGGTTTATGTTCCCCCATGGTTAGATTCAGGCTATATAAATTTGGTAGGAATATGACAAAAAATGAAGGTTTTCTGATTGCATCTTGTCTGGTGGTGCAACGTTTAAATTTGTCCCATTACATATATACTCGCTTTGATCACTTGATTAAGTGCTGTCTGCCCATTTCTCCACTATTTACTTTTTCTCCTTTGTAATTAATAATTCATGAGGAGATACTTGGAAACTATTAATATTCCAGACATTTTTTTATTAGTCTTCATTTATTAATTTGTGTTAATATGGTTTCCTGTTTTACTCAGTGAGTCACTATAAAATTTAGTGGCTTCTTTGTTCTTTTGACATGTGCTCATTCTTAGTTCTTCCTTACTTTCTTGTACCACAGATTGTTCCAGATTCGTATTTTATTTTCCCTGTCCCAACCCTGCAGTCAGGTATTTTTTTTAAGAAGCCCAGTTTTCCTTTAAATGAAGAATGGTATTTTGAAACTAACTTCAGGACTTTCGATGTGGTCATTGCTATTGGACCTTGGTGCTCCCAAACTGTCATGGACAGAAATCAGCAATATAACACCACAGGGTTCATTCTAGTTGTCTTCTTTTCTTTGTGCCTTTCTTTTCTGAAGGTGAGAACCCTGGCTTCTGTTATACTTAATATAATTTACTTGATCAGTTTCTTTGTCTATAATTAATCTCTTTTTGGTGCCACCTTTGTCCCATGTAGGCATCTTTTTGACCCCATTTGAACTCTCACACTGGGGACAGTCTGTCTCTGTTTATTCATGAATGGCCTTCCGTGGGTCATTGCTGCTCTCTGGCCTACTCCGGTGCTGACGTTTATCTGATGCGGCCCCACCCAATGGCTTTTGAGCGAAATTGTTGCAGGAGGGAAGAGGTGGTGGAAAGGAAAGGATTAAATGGACATTTAATAGAAATGGGACTTTTCAGATGTGATTTATCCTTTATTAATGAAAATATTCATGGCTTGTTGTGAAATAGGACGATGGCCTTAGAAATATGTTGTTTACATTGTTACTTAAAAGCATAAAAGAAAATAAAAACTGCCTGTGAAAGCTGTGGGTGCTATTAATTTATAGGAGGTTTTATAGAGAAATAATGCATGGAGCTGTTGATTTTTCAGGGTTGATTGACAGTACCCTTGAATTTAGCTTGACTATCTTTTTGCTAGAATGGTACTCTTTAATTTTTATTTTTTAAATTAACATATAATGTGTTTGTTTCAGGGGTACAGGTATGTGATTCATCAGTCTTACACAACACCCAGTGCTCTAGAGTGATATTCTTATTTCCACCAGTCTTGTTGTTGGTTTTGCATGTGATTCTTTCACATATTTCACTTTGGCACTGCATTCCATCAGCTCTGGAATCGTGTAATGATGTCTCTGAAGGACTTGATGTCCTTCCCTCCTCTTGTTTCCTTGAGAACTTGTAAAAATATGAAGGATTTGACTCCCAATTTCCTTATATTTTCTTTTCCTGTGGACTGGTCTCTTCCTTTTTTACCTTTGGGGAATAGGAGGCAGCATTGTAATTAATTTGAACAGGATATTGGTAGTTTCTAGATCGTGTTTTTCTGTAGGGATATGGAAATGGGAAATTGAAATCTAAAAATGGCTTTTTTCATCCCTTCGTTCACATCATTCAGATCTTTTTGTTGTAGCGTTTGTTAGTAGAAATATAGTCTCTAATTTGATGGATTGAAGCTACTTATTTCAGGGCTATGAGAGGAGTTTCTCGGTCTTTTATTCACGTGCCTGGCACCTGATAGGACTAGCTCAGTGTCCAGTAAATGTTTAATTAATGAATTGTTTGGAAAATTAGCACATATATGAGATTTAGTTGTTTTACTTTTGACGTTTGCATCTTCAGAGTAATTTTTTTTTAAAGATTTTATTTATTTAATTGACAGAGACAGCGAGAGAGGGAACACAAGCAGGGGGAGTGGGAGAGGGAGAAGCAGACTTCCCTCTGAGCAGGGAGCCCGATGTGGGACTCTATCCCAGGACCCTGGAATCATGACCTGAGCCGAAGGCAGACACTTAACGACTGAGCCACCCAGGCACCCCCAGAGTAATTTTTTGATAAGTTTCCTGTTACATGATAGGGCAAGTAGGTTAAAAAAAAAACTATAGAGCTTGTTTCTGATGTAAAATGTCCCAATTTAGTTACTGGTTTTTTCCTTTTCTGACAGACAGTTTGTCACAGTTTATTGGTTATTCCTGCCCGAAGCCAGAGCTTTGACATCCTGCAGAGTGCCATCAGTAAGCATTTGGTAAATATACTTAAATTTTGTTTTTTGTTTTGCTGCTTAAAAAAGCAAAGAGAATCTAGAGAATCCTTGATTAATAGTGGGTTTGCCATAGGCGAGGAGAGAATGATTGTCCAGAATTCTAAGCTTAATAATTCCATGGCCTTTTAGCATAATGTTGATAAGAACTGGGAAATCTTGTTGTTTTCCCTAGCTGTTACTAATTAATTCTGTGACCTTGGGAAATTCCCCCTTTTCCAGTACCTTACTTTCTGCATCTGCAGTGAAGAGCTCTAAAATTATACCTCAGATTCTTCTGACTTGTAATGCTTTAATTAACATGTACTTGGTATTGGTGTATTGGGAATCCAGCATCCAGACTGGGGTCTAACCTATACCTTAAGGATTTGGGTTCTAAAGTAGGGATGTAACCTAACAGTTTGCTTAGGGCTTGGTCACTAGAAGCAGTAAGCTCAGCCTTGAGACTATTTTGTCTTCTGGGCAGTTGGTGTTCCTTATTCCCATTGGGTATGCCTGGGTTTTGCTTTTTAACTTCCTCCAACATTTATACTTGGATCTTTGGCTTATTATAATTTTTATTATAATTATTATAATAGTGCAAGGGACGGCTCCCACATTTTACCTTCTAGGCACTCTTACTTGTTCGGGTAATTTTATAGGCACATTCCAACCCCCTATTCTCCTTTAAAATGTTAACTTCCCTTAAGTTGGAAGAATACTATTTTGAATTCCCAGTACTCTTTTCTTTCTGCTATCGAACTTCCAGTCTTTATCTGTTGTGTCTTTTCATCTCCCCTCCAGATATTTATGTCTTTCTTTGACTACATTCATTATTCTAGTTAAAAGATCAACACGATTGTCAGTCTTGGCCACTATATTCAGACAGCCTGATCAGAGCCTGTAGACTTTCATGATGACTCAACAGTAGTTTCCAGGAGATTTAAACCATGCATATATAACAATTATAAGTTAGAGTACACCTTAATGAAAGTTTACAGTAAAGTCCAGATGAATACATATACCATGATGTCCCTTATCGAGGTTTTGGGGCAGTGAATCAGTCAAGTGTTCAGTATAGTGATGTCTTACTCCAGGGTGTTTTACTTAGTCATGTCTGAATGAGTAGCTAAATGAAAGGGCAGGGTAACGCTAATTGTAAAATGAACTCTGGTTTGTACATCTAATTACCTGGGGTAGGGGTGGTGCCAGATATTAGAGTTTTCTAGTCTGAAGAATCTAATAAAGATCATGTGAATGTGATTGTTGGTATCAAGAGTTTTTGGAGGGTGCATGAGATAATCCTTTCAAATGATGGTATTTCTGACCATCAGAAATTGTAATGTCTTGAAGATTTTAGTAGACTTTGTCATGGAAGGGAGACAGTGGATTAGGTTAGTATTTCTTGAGTTGGCATGCTTTCAAAGTTATTTAATGCAGTAATTGAACTCTTAAGGGAAAACAGGACTTTAAGGTATGGTGGGTGGCATGTATTATGTATGTACTGTTTCTCAGTAGAAGTGATGTTAGGTTAACTCTCCAGTTAATGGGGTTTGGTTTTATCCTGGAGAGAGGGACTGTTCCAAGGAGGTCATTAATCTCATTTTTCTCTGCCTAGGTTGGGCTGACTGTAATTCCTGACAGTACAGCTGGCTGTGTTTTGGGTGTTATCTGTAAGCTCCTGGACCATACGTGTGTACTTAGTGAGACTCTCCTGCCATTTCTGGCTTCTTGTTGCTACAGTCTTCTTTATTTTCTGCTCACTTTAGAGAAAGGAGAAGCAGAACATCTAAGAAAGAGGTAATAGTTTTTGTATTCTTCAACTTTAATTTTTTTCATACCTACCTCTCCAACCAAATAAATAAGAATAAAGTGTAAAATTTTTTAAATTAAAACAGAGTAAAAGAAAATTAGATTTGGGAAATATTATCCTAAATTCTCTTTTAGAATTTGTGTGAACCTAAGTGCCATTTTCTTTGTTCTTTTTTAAATTCCTATTGTGATGAGAATTTTTAGTTTTTGTTTTTTCTTTTAAGCTACAAATTTGAAAAACTAGATGGCATAAAGTTTTTTGGGAGCTTTCCTTATTAATGTTGTTGTAGGTCTATCAAGAAAAAAAAATTTTATCTTACCTTTAGAAGAATGCACTTATTAAATAAGTATAAGCCTTTGCATTTTGTTTTGGGCTTTGTTAGAGCTAACCAGAGTAGAATTTTTAAATTCTTCGATTTAAGGAAAATTTTCTAAGATGCTAGTTTGTATTAGTTACTACCTTAGCTCTTATATAGTGCAGCTATTATATATAGCTCTTCAGAATAAAGTTTCTAGCATAGTTTGGAATATTTCACTTTAATTTAAAAAAGTATTCTCATGTTAAATGTTAAATTATTTTAACATTATTATTATTAACATAATATTTTATTTTTTTTTAAGATTTATTTATTCATTTGACAGACAGAGATCACAAGTAGGCAGGGAGAGAGAGAGGAAAGCAGGCTCCCCGATGAGCAGAGAGCCGGACGCGGGGCTCGATCCCAGGACCCTGGGATCATGACCTGAGCCAAAGGCAGAGGCTCACCCCACTGAGCCACCCAGGCGCCCCTAACATAATATTTTAACAATAAAATGTTAAATGTTAAATTAAAAAAGTATTCTATGTTCTTGGTATGCCTGTTAAATTTTTTTTATAGAAATCTAGACTTTATAGAAATACAAATTTTTAAAATATCTAATATCAGTATAAGAAATAAGTATAAGAAAATAATTACTGTTAACATTTTGATATATTTTTCTAGTTTTTTTAAACTTTTATGTATCATAAAAATAAATGCATATATATATGTATGTATGAAACATTTATATAGTTTAAAGAGTAAGTATAAATTGAATATCCGTTTAACCAGTCTCCAGGTTCAGAAATACACCATCAGCACACACTTAGTGTACCCTCTATAGTTACCTTTCTCTCCTGCACACCCCAGAGATCATTTTTGTGTGTTAAATAACAAAAATTCAACCTAGGAAATTTTTCAAGATCTGATTGGCTTCGTTAATTGATTCATTAATTGGGTAGCATTCCATCTGGCAAGTAGAGAGGGGAGCTCTCAAGGGCTATATAAAGTTTTTTTTAAGGTAGAGAGTGGGAAAAAGGAAATTACTAGCAAAGAATCCATTGTTTAGGCAGGGTGGTCCTCCCAAGGGGAATGGAAGGAGTCTCTAAGTAATTTTTCCTCATGTTGACCAGGAAGTTCCCATGTAAACTAGTTAAAGGTTAGGTTTCTAAGGGGTTGAAACTGCAGTTAGGTTAGGTATTAAGTCTTGGTTTGCTGACTTGGGGCTTTCACCTAAGTGATGCCATTTTGAGCCTGTGATTTGTTTTTAATATGTGTTAATTATTTCCTTGCCTTTTTATTAAAAATTACATGTGCGTTTATAAACAATCCAGTTTTTGTTCTTAGTTTTTGTGATTTGGTATCATTTGTGAGTCATTCATGTTGATTCAGAAATCTGCTTCATTTTTTTTTTTTTCTCTGTATCAGGGCTTAAGCAGACTTCTTTTTCTAAAGAGTCAGATAGTAAATAGTTTAGTTTTTTCATGCCATAAAGTCTCTTGTCAGTCAGAATTATTCAATACTGCTGTGGCAGTAGGAAAGCTGCAACAGAGAACATGTAAAGGACTGGGTGTGGCTGTTTCAGTATCACTGTTTATAAATACTGCCTGTGACTATGATTGGCTGTGATTTATCCACTATACCTCCTCTATAGTATTTTGTTACATGAATGTACAATAACTTAACCCATTTTACTGTCAACAGACACTTAAATTTTTTTTTTTTGCTAAGTGTGCATGTTTAAAATGGACTTTACTTTAGATTCTAAAATTTATACATAAATACAGATTTGATGATGATTTTCTTACTTATCATTAGACTTTAGGTATGATAGGTCAAGAACAGGCCTTATGAATCCCAAGGAACTTCTTAGGGTTCAAAAAATTTTATAATAATTTATGAAATGTGTATATGTTGCTATTTGTTATTTCCTGTCATTGAAATAACAGCCCCTTTATTGAATACTTTGATGAGAACTTTTAAAGATCTTTTGTAATTTCTTATGGAGAAACATCCCACTTTTGACTTTCTGTGGCTGGATGGAACAAAGTTCAGTGTATGAAATATTTTTTACCTGTTTAAAATGCCTAGTTTTAAATGTTTTATGCTAGATATTGAAACAGTTGGTATTTCCAGAACTCTGTGCATCTCTTGGGGTAACATTATTTAGTCACAAAGATGTGTTGCCAGCCAGAATCTTAGGTGCTTAAATTCCCTTTTGGGCTACTCTTGTCTTTCCAGAGAAGGTGTTTGTACGGTTATAAATGATGAGAATGCCAGTCAAATTACTAGGAGGCTTTGATTTCACAAGAGCTGGCCGAAACATCAGGCTTGACCAGTCAGTTTGAGTTGTTAAAAACCGTGGCCACTGGACTTTGAAGAAACTATGGTCATCTTCTGGACTAATTGTTAGTAATGAAAAATCTGCTGTCACTGAGCCCTCTTGGTTGTAGGTAGTAATCTATTCTCTGCAGTTTTACTATTTTCTCCTTAACTTTTGTGGTGTTGCAGATACAAGTGTGTCCTCATGTGGGTTTGTTGTTACCTGCCTCTTGAGACTTAGTGTACTCTTCGATCTGAAGACTGGGTGTTTTTCCTTCAGGTCTGGGAAGTGCTCTTATCATTTCTGTTACCTCCCCTGTTTTTTTCTCTTCTTTCCTACAGCCTCTAAATGAAGGGAGCTTCTCAATCTGTCCTCTACCTCTGAAACATCTTCCACTTTGTTGTATGTTTTATTTAACTCCATCGAGTTTTAATTTCATCAGCCCTATTATTTTCTTTTCTTTGCTCTGTTGTGGGTTTTTACTTGGCTTTTTGTCATTCTTGTTTTTCATGATTTATTGGTATTACTTTAAAGTTCCTGTCAGTTCTGTTTTTTCTTTTATTCTCTGGCATTGGAATTCTCCCTCATGTAGGGAAGCAGGTGAGGCTCTGGAAATTTTTTCATGGGGTTGAACAAACTTATGGTTTGGATTGTATACTTTTTCTCTGAGTGGATCTTACGAGAGTTTGGTGCAGATTATGGAGACCTCCCTGTGGGTGAGTTTTACATGTGCATTGTCCTGCCTTCCAGCTATATACAGGGAGCCCAGTTCTAGCTCCCTGCCTCCCACATCTAGGGCCTGAAGTCTCAGCTTCCAACACTTAGCTATTGAAAACCCAGCCCTAAAATCCCATATCCAGTTCTGTACCTCTGTTGGGTTCTCTTTATATGACTTCTATAGTGGTTTCTGGCACATATAGATTTCACCCATTCTGGCTTTTGAATTTGGATTTTTTTTTTTTTTTTTAAGTATTTTATGTGTATTTCTCTGTGTTTGGAGTAGAAGGTGGGGGAGGCTGCTGTTACCTATTTAGAATATGTCAGAAGTTTGTGAAGTTATCTGAACTCCTTAAAATTGTATACAAAATACTGAACTTTCATTAGTTTCTTGAGAATGGTTTTTAGAACTACGGTTTTGAGTTCTGAAACCTTAATTTCATTGGTCCCCGTTCTTTTTTTTTTTAAGATTTTCTTTATTTGAGAGTGCATGTATGCACAAGAGAGAGCAGGAGTGTGGCGGGGGGAGGGCCAGAGGGAGAAGGAGAAGCAGACTCCTCCTGGAGCAGGAAGCTGGCCGCAGGGCTCCATCCCAGTACCCTGAGATCATGACCTGAGCTGAAGGCAGACACCTAACTGACTGAGCCACCCAGATGACCCCCAGTTCTGTCCTTTTTTTTTTTTTTTTAAAGATTTTTATTTATTTATTTGTCAGAGAGAGGGAGAGAGAGCAAGCACAGGCAGACAGAATGGCAGGCAGAGGGAGAAGCAGGCTCCCTGATGAGCAAGGAGCCCGATGTGGGATCGATCCCAGGACGCTGGGATCATGACCTGAGCCGAAGGCAGCTGCTTAACCAACTGACCACCCAGGCGTCCCCAGTTCTGTCCTTTAAACACTTCAGCATGCATACACTTAGAATGAGTACACTCATGACAACTCTTAGAAAACCCTAGGAGTGGCTGTTCATACAGTATTTCTTCTATTGCCTGTGGTATCCAGGTCTCTTGTATTTCTTTTTGGCTTAACAATTTTTAATTGTGTATTTTAAAGTGGAGTTGTAAACTTTATTGATCTATTCCACTGTACTTATATTTAGTATTGTGTAGAATTCATGAGTTTTTTTTTTTTTTTAAGATTTTATTTATTTATTTGACAGAGAGAGAAGGAAACAGGCTCCCTGCTGAGCAGAGAGCCCAATGCGGGACTCGATCCCAGGACCCCAAGATCATGACTTGAGCTGAAGGCAGAGGCTTTAACCCACTGAGCCACCCAGACGCCCTTCCTGAGCCCTTTTAGCATAGTTTTGGTCAGCAGTTATTTGAAATCCACTCAAGTTAAAATAGAAAATGAGTATTGGACCATACAGGGGTAACTTAGAAAACCCAAGGGCTAGGAATTGTGGAAGCAGGAACTGAAACTCCTTAGGAGCCAAAGTAGTTCTCTCTACATTTTCTTCTAGATTGTGTAGTCTTTATCTCTGTGCCTTTGCCTCCTTATTAGCTGTGTCTGCAATCTGGCTGTTTTCTCCTTGCATGTGGCTCTACTAACCTGGCTATACATGAGTCAACAGGGTGAATAAAGTCTCCAAATAAGAGGGTCTGGTTCGCTTAGAAGGATTCAGTATCCACCTTTGATGCAGTTGCTGTATATGAAGTTGGGGAGGTTGATCAAATTGTGAAAGGACTGTAGCTTCTACATCTGGAAGTAGTCAGATTCTCTGAAGGATTTCGGGACTAGGAGGATTATGCCCTCCTGATAGAGAATCTGTAACAGACTAAGGTCAGGGCTTTTAGCAGCTAGCCAGTGGACCCTTCATTGCTCCATTTAATTGACACTCTTCTGGACTGTGGTTAGGCTAACTGCAAGTCCACTTAACCTTTATCATAAAACATTTTTGTTCCTGCTATATAACAATACCAAGAGAATGATGTATACTAAAATTTGGATTTATTATTTCTGGCCTTTCATGACCTAGTAATGCAGTAATAGTCCCCTAATTGGCTACTTTCTGCAATCCATTTTGGTTCCTTGTGAACACAACTTTCTCCACAAATCTGTCCTCTTCAAAATATTGAAGCAGCTCAGAATTCAGGTCACAGGCATAGAGTTTCATGAAGTTTTGTTGTTTTATGTGTTTTTTTTTTTTTTTTTTAAGATTTTATTTTAGAGAGAGAGAGAGTACGTGAGAGAGCAGTGGGAAGGGGAGAGGGAAGGAATTTCAGTCAGACTTCAAGAGCTGAGTGTGGAGACCAGTGAGGGGCTCTATTGCACAGCTCTGAGATCATGGCCTGAACTGAAACCACTTAACCAGCTGAGTCACCTAAGTGCCTCTGTTGTTTTTTCAAGTAAACTCTACCCCCAACCTGGGGCTCAAACACAAGACCCTGAGATCAAGGGTCACATGCTGTACTGACTGAGCCAGGCATCCCATTTTTTTTTTTTATCAGTGTGATAGTCTTACTCTTGATTTTTTTTTTTTTTAAAGATTTTATTTATTTATTTGACAGACAGAGATCACAAGCAGGCAGAGAGGCAGGCAGAGAGAGAGGAGGAAACAGGCTCCTTGCTGAGCAGAGAGCCCGATGCGGGGCTCGATCCCAGGACCCTGAGATCATGACCTGAGCCGAAGGCAGCGGCTTAACCCACTGAGCCACCCAGGCGCCCCTACTCTTGATTTTTGATGTTGTGTAATACTTGAATAATGTTCAGTAATAGAGAATAGTATGCATATATAGATTATTCTGTTCTTTGGCTAATTCTGTGTTATATGATCACCAGGGCTTCAAAAATGTCCTGTTAAGCCCAGGAAAATGCTGATTGCTTAGGCTTCCTAGAACTCATTAAATTGGGGAGAGCACCTGGTTCTTTATTGGATTTGCTTAAACTTAGCTCTGATGAAACCTAGTTATTAGTTCTGATTTGTGGAGTTTTACCAGAGAACACCATGTTTCTTGGACATTTTTCAGTTTTAGGAAATACAGAAAGGGTACTCTTTCTATGTGTGTTGGCTCTCTGACTCATTTTTGTCTCTTGTTGTAGGGACAAACTGTGGGGGGTCTGTGTCTCCATCTTGGCTCTCCTGCCTCGAGTCCTCAGGTTGATGCTGCAGAGCCTGCGGGTGAACAGAGCTGGGCCTGAGGAGCTGCCTGTTGTGGGCCAGCTGCTTCGCCTGCTGCTTCAGCACGCACCCCTCAGGACTCATATGTTAACCAACGCCATCTTGGTGCAGCAGATCATCAAGAATATCACGGTAAGAAGTGTGGAACAGGGCTTTGTACTATTACTAGAAAAAGGGATTGCTCACAGGGAATGGGACTGTTACTCTTGGGAGGTTAGGTCCCCTGTGTACATTGACTGACTCCTGGAAGTAAGCCCACCCTGGTGATTTTCCAGGGCTTCCCCTGAACACTAGCACCTGCCACTTAACCAGGGGAGGTCTTTGATCCAAAGTCCATAATAAAAGCCTAAAGCAGTCATATTGAAACCAGGTGGCAAGCAACTTATAAGAAGTACAGGCATCAGAGTCACTCCTACCAGGAGTCTGATACGGACTCTGATGATGAACTGTGATAGTTTGGCATCGTTTTTAAACCTGTCAGTTGTTTTACCTTGCTGTAAGAATAGCAACTTAATTGTTTTGGTAACCATAAAATGAGATTACTCAAAGTTTTTAGTGTAACAGATAACTAAGTTCTCAACAAATGTCAGCTTTCATTAAAAAAATTATTTACCAGGAATACATTATAACCAATTTCTAGTCACTTAGTTCACTGGAGAATAAGAGAAAGTTAAGAAGTTGCAGGTTTCAGTCTTGTCTAGTGGTTGGTTCTGTTTTGCAGGGGCATCTCTAGGATTCCTGTAGTGGTTTTGGTTTGGAAGAGTTAGAGGTTTCTTATGTAGGTATTTGGAGCTTTATTAGTTGTTATGTGTAATACTTCAGAGTAATAGAACTTAGCTAGATATATGTAACAGGTTCTTGTTCTGAATTTTCTCAGCAGCCTTCTGGAAGTAATGGAAGAGACACCATTCAGAAATAGAAGGGAAGAAAAGTCAAGAATTTGGATTATTCTGAGGTTGCAGAATCAGCTTACCTCTATAAGGAAGAGAATGACAGACTATCAATCGGCCTTGTAGAATTATTCTCAGTTGATGTTAGTGCAAAGACTGTGAGGAAGTCCAGAGTGTAGGGATGGTTGATGGTGAAATTTCATTAGTTCCTAGTATTTGAGAGGGAACAGATGAAACTAGAAACTGGTAGTACTGCTTGTATATGGGAGTGTAACTAGGAATTTTCACTGCCAGTGGTAATGCCCAATTAACAAATCTCCATTTCCAGTAAGATTTCCTGTGGTGATTGATAGATGGAAGATGAGATTGCCATGGTTTGGAAGTCTCATTTGGGTTGTAAAATACTGTCAGGTAGCATAACAGTTTTGATACAATTCTCAAATTCCTCTTATTTTTCTCTGCAGACCTTGAAGAGTGGAGGTATTCAGGAACAGTGGCTCACAGACTTGCATTATTGCTTCAATGTTTATATCACTGGGCATCCCCAGGGGCCCAGTGCGCTGAGTACAGTGTATTGAGTACAGTAAGAGACATCGTGGTACCTCCTGTTTGAAACTGTTTATTCACATCTAATTTTGAAGAGAGACTGATGTAATGTTTGTCATTAAAGTTGAACTTTTAAAGAAGTTTATGAACCTTCCTTTAAGGTAGGAAAATAATGCAGGCTGGCTTCTGGGACTAGTACATAATACTTGCTTACAGGTGGTTAGTGTATTTTGCATTTCATAGGAACTAAATATTTACAAAATACATAGTGATAATATAGTATCTTCTGTTATTTATCGAGAAAGTAGCAGAGTCTCTTTGTGTGGTCTTACCTCCGGTTCATTCAGACAGCAGCAGAAACCAGTTTTTTATTTGGGAATAGTTGCCCTTCTCCATCATGACATTCAGCTTCTGACTATGGAGTCCTATTATATACAGCAGTTTTCTCTCCCTCTCTGCAGGAGCAAGATTTCAAGATACTGCTACAGTTGTTTGGGTTTTTCTATACATAAATGGAACTTGTTTTGATCAAGTTTAATTCTTTCAAAAGTACTTTCCACTATTGGTCTGTTAGAAGCTGTATATAGCAATTTATATTGACCCTTGTACAGTATTGGAGATTTAGGGAGTTCTGACACCCTTCCCCCAGTCAAAAAATCTGTGTATAACATTTGATTCCCCCAAACCTTTACTACTAATAGCATACTGTTGACCAGAAGCCTTATTGATAATCCATTTACCCATATTTTTTTGGTGTTAGATACCTAATTCTTAAAGCAAGCTAGAGAAAAAGAACACATTTGCAGCATTACAGCTGTATTTATCGATACTATATGTATTTATTGAAAAACCATGTTCAGTGGATCCATACAAACCTGGCTGCTCAATGGTCACCTGTATTCATTATTTTCATAATTATGAAATAATTACCTTAATTTTTTACAGTTTGCTACAGTTAACACTTTATTGCTTCTTATCTCTTACTGTCAGGACAGGTGGCAGTAATTTTCAGAAAATGAAAATGGTCCTAGAAATACTTGAGCCTGTCACTGTTTAGGCCTTCTGTCTATATTCCTGCTGTAACTTTGCTCTTAAAAATGTGAAAAAGCCTGTGATCACTGGATTGTATTTATGCCAGATGTTTTTAGAATGTATATAGTTTTAGGATGGTTTTCCTTGCCAATAGGAATGGCATTTTGACAAGATTGCTCACCTGTACAGGTCAGGCAGAAAAGACCTGAATTGGTACCTTATACGTAAATGGCCTGGTCTGTAAACCTCCCCAGTTGATTCCTCAGTGCTGGGATACTGCTGCTGGTGCTCAGCAAGTGAAACTGCTGTTCACAGGACACAGCAGCAACCTGAGGCCTTCAGAGGCTAACATGGGAACTATAAAATGTAAGGGATCAACAGAGTGCCTGTTATTGTCTTATGATTTTTTTTTTTTTTAAGATTTTATTTATTTGACAGAGATCACAAGTAGGCAGAGAGGCAGGCAGAGAGAGAGGGGGAAGCAGTCTCCCTGCTGTGCAGAGAGCCTGATGCGGGGCTCGATCCCAGGACCCTGAGACCTTGACCTGAGCTGAAGGCAGAGGCTTAACTCACTGAGCTACCCAGGTGCCCCCGATTTTTTTTTTTTCTCTTAAGATTTTTTTTTTTTTAAACATTTTTATTTATTTATTTGAGAGAGAGAGAGAGACAGTGAGAGAGAGCATGAGTGAGGAGAAGGTCAGAGAGAGAAGCAGACTCCCCGTGGAGCTGGGAGCCCGATGCGGGACTCGATCCCGGAACTCCAGGATCATGACCTGAGCCGAAGGCAGTCGCTTAACCAACTGAGCCACCCAGGCGCCCCTTCTCTTAAGATTTTATTGACAGAGTACAAACGGAGAGCAGGAGAGGGACAGGTAGACTCCCTGCTGAGCAGGGAGCCTCATGAGGGGCTCCATCCCAGGACCTGGAGATCGAGCAAAAGGCAGATGCTTAACTGATTGAGCCACCCAGGTGCCCCAAGATTGATTTATTTTAGAGTGAGAGAGAGAGAGAATGAAGAGAGCGTGTAGGTGTTTGGGGCGGGGAGGGTTATGAAGGAAAGGGAGAGAATATCCAGCAGATTCCCCAGTTAGTGGTGAGCCTGCTGCAGCTCCAGGAGATCGTGACCTGAGCCAAAGGCAGACGTTTTACTGAGCCACCCAGGTGCCCCTTGTCTTAATTTGTAAATGCAAATGCTGGGTCATGATTCTGCTCTAAAATTTAAAAATGATAATGTTGGAATAAGATTAGATTGGAGAAAAAGTGAAATGAAGAAGATGGGTGCTGTAGGACAGGCTCCTAACCACCCATCTCATCTAGTCCTTTACCAGGGCCAAAAACCCAGGCCTGCACCAGCTGGCTGGCAGAAATCTCATGTTAGTGCTCATGTTCTGAATTTTACTTAGATTTTACTATTAATGATAAGTTCTGCTTTACAGCTGTACTGACTGAAGTGAAGGTAGACAGCCAGGAAGCTTTGGCACAGTGTACCATGGTCCTTGTAGCACAGGCTAAGTTTACAAAACAGTGTGGTAGAAGAACAGAGAGAGAACATTCAGACACGGTCACTTCGTTGTTACCACATTTTCAGGCCACTAAGGCTTTAGGCGTGAGGATTAAAGTTGTCTCAAGATGTAAAAGATGAATCAGCAGAGAATTAGAACTCTGCACTAGCTATTCCAGCTACCCCAGACACATTCTTCCTCCAGAGGTGGTCAGAGCTTTGTTTTGGTTTTTGATTGAGTAGCTGATTGTAGGTTATAAGAAAAATTCTTTGATCTTCCACTGTTCTCAAGGAGGTGTATACACTGCAAGTTGCTCACTGTTAAAAGCAAATACCAGAGAGATAATCAAGTTATTAAATTTTGTACTGAAAAGAGTTCATTGCTGGTGAGGAAGGAGGATTTAGGTATGGACTATCCATGGGGCTAGTAAAGGTGATCGCCAGTTTGTGGTAGAGACAGGATGACTTACTGGCCTTGCATTTTCCCTCATTCTCCAAGATAATAGGACATCTCTTAAAGAACCTAAAGGGGTCAGGTGCTTGAGCTGTGACTGGGACCTAGGTCTTCAGTCTGTCTGCAATAATTGGTATAGCTTTCTCTGCTTTCAACATAAAATACCACAAACCTACATATACACATACATAGCTCAACTTTCCACAGGCCATAGAGTTGGCTATAGAGTCCATTGTAGAAAATAGGTTTGTTGAAAGCTCTATCTTTAAATAATCTTGAAATGGGGCGCCACAGTCGGAAAACTTTGATGTAAAAACCTTCTCATTTGATAAATGAGGATGCCAAGGCCCCAGATGGTTAAGAGAACTTGTTTAGGCCATATTGCTATCTGTTGCTCCTAACTTTTTGTGGAACAAAGCAGCAAATATGAAAGGGGAGTAGTTAAAAAAGTTACAAACATGTCTTATTATTTCTCTCCTGGTTTTATTACTATTACTTAAAGTTCTTTTACAGTGAAATGTTGATCTGGAACTCTGTTTTCAGCTGCCTTTACTGTATCAAGTCTTGAGTTACTTGCATAGCCTTCTATAGGTGGGCAGGAATTCTGCATTCATACAAGGGAGTTATTACCAGTAATCACTTGAGCCATGGCTATTCCATTCATTGGAGTGGGTTTTTTTTTTTTTTAAAGATTTATTTATTTATTTATTTATTTATTCGACAGACAGAGACCACAAGTAGGCAGAGAGGCAGGCAGAGAGAGAGAGGAAGGGAAGCAGGCTCCCCGCTGAGCAGAGCCCGACGCGGGGCTCGATCCCAGGACCCCGGGATCACGACCCGAGCCGAAGGCAGTGGCCTCAACCCACTGAGCCACCCAGGCGCCCCGGAGTGGGTTTTTTTAAAGGTAGTTTTTTTGTATTTAAAAAGATGGGCCCCCAAATTTAGGAGATTATATATATATATTTTTTTTTTTTAAAGGTTTTATTTATATTTTATATATATATATATATATATATGTATTTTTAAAAAGGTTTTTATTTATTTAACAGATAAAGAAATCACAAGTAGACAGAGTGGCAGGCAGGAGGTTGGGGGGTGCAGGCTCCCTGCTGAGCAGAGAGCCTGATGCAGGGCTCAATCCCAGGACCCTGAGATCATGACCTGAGCCGAAGGCAGAGGCTTAACCCACTGAGCCACCCAGGCGCCCCGATTATATATATTTTTATATCATACATAAGTGGTCTTATGCTACTGTGGTATTATGCTGCTGTGTTGTAGGTGGTTTGCAGGGGTTACTGTTGAAGGACTGGAGAGAACAGGGATTGTGGATGTGGAGTCTCCCAAATGCATGTGGAGAAACAGCCCAAGGAGGCTATATATATATATACTTTGTGATATCCAGCTGTCTTTCTGCTTCCTCTTTAAAGAGGTAAAGGCACTACTAAAGCCTTCAGTCAAATATTGGAGCACTTACTATGTGCCAGATAATTTTCTTCAACTGAACAGGACAGTGGATAAATCAGAAGATCCTTAATCCCATGGAATTCTCAAAGCAGAAGAATGAAAACTTTTATTCATGGAGAAGACCAAAATTAATGTTCTCTTCTTGGTTCAGTTTGGCATCTGTGATACTACACTGCAGAAAACTGTGTGCCCATTTTCGTGGAAATTATTTATAGACATGTTTTCTGTATAAAACACATACTGGCTCCAGCTAAACTAGTTAGCCCTGACAGTCAGCTTGATTCACTGGTTAATGCTTAATGTGAATGGGTGGACCTAAGAAAACCTTTTGTTCCCCCAAGTTTAGGGTTAGGAAAAGATTTTCTTCAGTGCTTGTCTATTTCTAAGCCAGTCAGAATTAACGTATGTAGGACAAACAAGCTATTTATGTGAAATCCCAAGAAACCACTAAGTATTTGAATTTATTTATTCTGCCCTTTATGTAAAAAAACCTTTTGTGCTTCTAAAGCCCTTCTTCATTTTTAAGATTTCTGATTGTCTCAAGAGAAAAATCCAGGACTAAGTATAAAATGCTCTGATTATCTAAATGCTACTTCTCTGGTGGTTCTATTTGACCATTGTTTTTGAAACTAATTTTCAGTTCATTCAAGTATAACAAAAGTTTTCTTTTTTACATGGAATCTTTCCAAGGAATCAGTTTCAGTTTTTACTGCCCTACCCACTACTCCCTGATCAGCCTGCCTCTATTATATGAGTTGCCCAACTCTTATTATTAAAGATTGGGCAATAATGACTCTACCCCCACATCCAGGTTTTCTCCCCATCAAAAACTAAATGAATATTAAAGTTCATGCTGACAGTCATTGTTCACCTTCCCAGCTGCACTCTGTTCTGCAGGATGACTAAGTCGGCAAGGGTGGGGGAACTGTGTTGCCATAGCCACCCATGAGCAACACTGGATCTGACATTAACTGCTGACAGCACTGAACTTATCACCCAAATTTAATGCTGGTGTG